ATTTTTTTTTCTTTTGAGTTCAACAAGTATGGAGTGAGATTGAATAGCAATAGATACCTTGTCGTGATTTAATCTTTTTGATCAATTACTTTGGCAAAATCTAAGTTAGGGTGCCCTAATAAATATATATCCAATTGACAAAGAAATGACATTTTTTTTTTTAATTAAGGCTCATCATTGAGTCTATTTGCCAACAAAGCAAGGGCCCAGACTGGGCCTGGATCCAAGTCCTACAAACTATAAGTACTGGTCTGGTCTATCTGACCACTCAAATCTAGGTTTATAGTCCAATCTATGAGTCTTACTTGATGGACTAAAATTAAATCGGGTTTGGATTGACCCTGAATTGTCCTATATAATAATTTATAATAATTTATTTTTTAAAATGATAGATGCGTCTAATAATAGAATATTTAAAATAATTAAAAATTTGTAATTAAAAATTTTAAAACCAAGGATGATTTAAAACTTAAAAGAAATTTTGTACTTCTAAAAAAATACATTTAAAAAAGAAAAATATTACTACAATTATAAAGATGTATTCCTATATTATTTATTCTTGAGATGCCAGCCCATTAAATATTGTTAGTTTATTAAATAAATTTTTCTAAGAATAATAAATAAAGAAATAATATATTAATATATTATATAATATAAATATTAATAATTATTAGATCACACATTTAATCCGTTTAAGCCAATCTAAATATAATTCAAATGGTTTAGTTCATGGACTGATCTAATTTAAAGAACAAATATTTATATTCAATCTAAATGTAAATGTTGAGTTGGATTGAGTCGATCAAAATGTTAGATTTTGGATCAAGTTTAAGGTGTGTTTGGGAATGTGATAGAATTAATCATTTTGAAAAAAGAGATTTAAGTGTAATTGATTTTCTAAAATTACTAATACCTTAAAAATAATTTAAAGTGGTTTTAGGTTTTTTTAAAATTATTTTTTAATTTGTTAAATATATTAATAGAAAGTAAAATGATTTTGAATTTTTACAGTCTCTCCAAATTCCAGTACACCATTAGAACTACCACAAAAAGCAACTTTCACTTTTTAGCCCATTTTAATATTAAGAAAAAACTCAAAGAATAAATAAATTGATAAAGAATAAAGGGATAAACTGCCTTAAATCAAAATATATTAAAAGAAGAAAAAGGTTACTAAAGATTATTTTTTCAAAACTTCATTGACCAATTTGACTTGATCTCAACCAATTTGCAACAAAGATAAGAATAAACTTTTTTTCCTTTTTAAATTATATGGTAAGATACCATGCTTTCATTTTCCAACTTGTTGTATAATTTTCATGGTATACTTTATTATTATGAAATTTACTTTTGAATCAAGTCACTTTTCATACTTTAAAAAATATTTGTTGAATTATCTCTTCATTTTTTTCTAAATCTGTAAGTAGAAGGTTCAACCACACATAAAAATGACGTTGTCATACATTGAAAATATAATATGTCCAAAAACATTTAAACCAAATAGATTGGTTTGATTCAAGGTCTGAAGTATTGGCCTTAAAAAATTTTTTAAAAAAATTAATGAAACTCATTCTCAAGATATGTTTATGCCCCTTAAAAGTTAAAAATTATTAGACATAAATTTTAAATAATTTTGTAGTTCTCTAAGAGATTTTATTTTATTATTATTATTATTATTTTTTTAGTCTCTCTCATGTAAAACTAACAATTGTGGCAAATAATTTCTCCATTTTCAAACCCTAATTTTCACATTTTGGCATTTCAATATGTAGTTGAATAATTTCTTTTTGTTTTAATGAGGTGACCTTTTTGCCCCCCTGACCCACCACCACTCATGAATCATGAAATGGCAGCAAATCCTGCCTCCTCTTGACCACATCCATCCACAGACATTATCTGATGAGATCACATCAACGTCGCATCTCACGACTCTCAACGGTCCAGATTTAAGCTACTCATACTCCGGCACCGCATAGGATTGCGGCCCGAGTTGTACGGCTTTAGCGCTTTATTACGGTGGAGATATTTATAATTTAAAAAGCCTGGCCCCACCACCAAATCATGTGCCAACTCAACAACAATGGAAATGTTGAAGATATTTTTCATTTTAAATTTCCCAACGTGGGCCCCTCCTCATTATTGTTTGGGGTATTTACATTTTTGGCCCCAATGGGAGTATCAGCAATATTAATATTTCGGTTTTACTTTCCTCCAATTAATTTGTAGTATGGGATAAGAGGACATTGTTGAAGGAGAACTTTCGGCCCATTAATAAATGATACGTCGAAATTTTAAAATTATATTTAGCACAAATTACAGATTTAATACTTTGTCTTAAATTATTTTTAAAATCAACAAGTCAAATTACGTCACATGTTTTTTGTATGGTCGTCTGACGACATCGACTAATTGGATTAACCCATAATGAGATTGAACTTATATCCATTAAAATTCGGAGAGAAGAAGGATTGAGAGAGATTCTAAACCATCACAACATTGAGAGTTGAAGACTACGCAATTAACTCCTCTCAAGTAGACTTGAAAACCTCATGAGTTGAAGAAATTCAACAAGCTGTATAACTGAAGAACTTCAACAAATCGAAGAACTTCATCAAATTCCATAGCTGAAAAACTTCAACAAGCCTAAGAATTTCATCAATAAGCCTAAAGCTGAAGACTCCAAAAACCTTTCTACAAGCTAGAATTTGAAGGCACCAACCTTCTTGATTCAAGAACAAATTCACAAGCCATTGAATTAAAGTTTATATCAAAGAGAAAGCATCAGATGAGCATACATCAGAGATTGTGCATTACAACATAAATACAATACAAGTTCATATACTAAATTTGAGTAATTTCTTCTTTGAATTTCTCGTCAAATAGACATTTTAGAGTATTAATATCCTTGGGACTCTAGCGTGTCTTGTATTTAGTTTTTTTGTACTATTTTTAAGCATTTTTTAGTTAGTTGGCTATTCGTGATCATTTTTGACTCATGATTGTATTCGATTTTGGTTTCCTTCCAATTCTATCTCTTGCATGTTCATTGCTCTAATGAGATTGATACACGGGACGACATTTTCTTTTAGTGTATGTTTAACATATCTGTATAAAATGGTATGATTGAGTGAATGAGTTTCTTATATTGAGTGAATGAGTTTCTCATACTGTATTTGTCTGTGAGATACAAAGTTACTATTTGCGGATCTGTCAAATTAGTGAAGGTCGTTCGCCCATATGTAAAGTATGAAAGATTGCTTAGGTCACCTCTATTTCTTACACTTGGAGAGGATGTAATTCCACGATCTATAATAGTGCTAATTGTCTACCCATAATTATTTTAAATCTTGTTCAAAATGATGTGTACATCCACTCTACTTCTCGGAGATAGGCAGATCGCTTAGCCCCGTTCATCTTCGGCGCAATAGCTCGCCTTTATGTTAGGGGGGCACTAAAATGGAACTTCGATCGGCTACTATCATTTCTTCATTATAGATTGAGATCATCTTCGAACTTAATGCTCGATTAGGCGAATGCGAGTGAGGGATAAGCTTTCTCTTAGTTCTTCTTCTTGGCGAAGAGGGAGAAGAGATGACTAGACTAGTCAATTCAGAGCCCCCCATCCAAAAAGCCGAGAAATGAAGAAGTGATGTCCAAACGGCTCATAGGAAGCCTTGACAACACAGAGGAAGTCGGAGTAAAGATGGCGCAGGAGGATTAAAGATTCTCGAAGGATGATATTGAAATCGACCGGGAAAGGCTGGGGGGCCGATTCCACCGATGAAAGAAGCCAGGCTACATGGAATCGGCTAAATCTGGCATTCTGGATGGTTAACCCGGCTAAGTGAAATAAAATAATATACTAGTGCTACATGGGCTAGGGTGGCCCCATTTCGCCTTACCTTCCTTTTTCCCATAAAGCTTCCTTTCCGGAATCTTAGCTCTGGCGCTTTGAATCTCGAAGGTCTTGGTAGGATTCTTACTTGATTAGCAGCTAAGTCCGCTTATAGTTCCTTTTGGAACAGGAACAACCTAGGCTTCTACTCTCTCGCTTTGTTGCTGGTCTACTAGGGTGAGAAAGTTATTATGGTCCAAGGGGAATAATTATTTTAAATCTTGTTCAAAATGATGTGTACATCCATTCTACTTCTCGGAGATATAAATTTCATTATAGTTTCTCTAACTTTTGTTATAGTTTCTAACCATTAATAGGATATGCTTGAGATTTGCCTTCACGTATGAGTTTTTATTTTGGTCTCAAATGTGAGTTGTGCTTCTTGTGCACAACAATAGCAGTTTTTTAGTACAATAAATTCAAGACAATAAGATGATTCGGTGACTTCCAAGAAAAGAGCAAAGTGCCTTTGCCAACATCCTTAATCTCTTAGCTAAGTACATATTGGTGAACGACATAACTATAACTAATATAAATTATATATATATTTTCCTAATTATGTGTTATTTATGTAATAGTGCTAAACCTTTCGGCCATAATTGTACCATGGTTCACACTAAAGAAACTGATCACCATCCTATATCGATAATTATTTTCACAACAACTTAGACTTTAATTATGCTATATTTATAATTTACCCTCATTTGTAAATATTTTAAATTAAAAAAGTATGTTTTTTCTTTTTATAGTACAACATGTGGGAATGAGGGATCGAATTCGCAACCTCTTGATCGGAGATATATGTTTCGTAGGAAAAAAACATGTTCTTGAATGTTCCACCCACCGACATTTTACGAGTCACCTCGCCAAAGAAAAAGAGTGGGGCAGAAAACAACAACATTGAATGGAAATCAATGAGGGGACCAAATAATAAATACCAAATTACACGAGGCATGTTCGTAATTTTGTTAAAATTTTCTTTCGAATAATTCTGATTTATCGAAAACAAGAGTAGAATTATGTCACTGTCATTAAGATTTGTCACAAGATAATATATTATTTTTCAATTTCCGATTTTTTGGTCGACGAAATAAGCATTGTGAAATGACGGAAAAGGGCATGAGACGAGCCGCAGATCTGCCGCTCTCTTCCCCTTCAGGATATTCTGGCGCTACCGGCCAAACGCCAATTTGAGTTCTCTTCCTGAAGAAGAAAAAAAGCTTCAATCAATCAATTTTCACTTCACAGCCGCCGATTAATCAATCTTCTCAGATTTAGGGTTTCTTCTGGGATCTCCGCCGGCGACGAGAAATGGTCTGTTCGAAGTCCAGAACTGGGGAGAGCGTCCCCTGCGATTTCTGTAACGAGCAGGTCGCAATTCTTTACTGTAGAGCTGATTCCGCCAAGCTCTGTTTGTTCTGCGACAAGCATGTTCACTCCGCGAATTTGCTCTCTCGGAAGCATGTTCGATCTCAGATCTGTGATAATTGCAGCTCTGAGCCGGTTTCGGTTCGGTGTTCGACGGATAATCTGGTGCTCTGTCAGGAGTGTGATTGGGATGCCCATGGGAGTTGTTCGGTCTCCGTCGCGCACGATCGAGCCCCGATTGAGGGCTTCTCCGGATGCCCGTCGGCGCTCGAGCTGGTTTCGTTGTGGGGCTTCGATCTTGGGGATAAGAAGCTGGAGGAATCCGAGATGTTGGTGCAGAATTGGGGCTGTTCGCAGGATTTGGTGATGCCGGTGGATTCTTGGGCGTGTAGGGCGACTGCGACTGCGTTTCACGACCTCATTGTTCCGAATGAGAACGCCTTTCTTTTTGCGAATCTCAGCTGTACGGATGCTGCTCCGATGGTGAAGAGGCAGAGTCCGAGCTGTGGGAAGCACAAGCAAGTGATATACAAGCAGTTGGTTGAGCTGCTTAAGCGGGATTTTGAGGGCGGTGAGGAAGGTGATAACCATGAAGATAACAATGGCGATGGAGATGCAGGTGGGGAAGATGTTGGAATGGAGAATCTGGTGCCTGAAACAGGGAATGGGGTTTGTTATTGGCAGGAAAATTTGGAAGCTCGTCGAATTGAGAAAGGGGATGATGGGGTTTTTGTTGATGCTGCTCCTCAGCAACCACTGCCGCAACAAACGTCATTTACGTCTCTGCTAACGATGCCGCCCCACATGGGCTTGAAAGATAGTGAGCGCGTTGTTGACGGAACTGGTGGATGGGATACTAATCCAAATCGTCAAAACATTCAAGTAATATTTCAACTGCTGCTCTGCTTGAGATTCCTGGACATTCACATGTTATTTTTTCTCCATCTCTTTGCCTGAAAGAATGAATAAAGCTTTTTTGTTTCCCAATTCCGAGGAATTAAGTTCGTACATCTGTGGATGCTGCTTTCTCAGTCAGTTGGTTTTTGCTTTCAAAAGTAGTTAGGTCTTTTTCTGAGGATATGAAAGGCCATTGGCTAAGCAACTTTGACCTTTTTCTTGCCCATTTCTGGAGCCTCCTTTCACCTTATCATTTGATTTCTGGTGTAAATTGGATTGTTTGAGTCATTCTCTATTGCTAATGCTTGTTGTTTGCAACCCAAATTCCCCTTTACCCTTTTTACTGACACAAAGTTTGGTGTATTGTCTTTTCTTTATCTGGGACAGTACTTGCCTGAAGTTAATCGAAAATACCTGGTGATTCTGTTTTCTCCTGTTATTTGGAACTCGTTCTAATGTTATTAGTGTGTACTCTTCACGGTGCCCAATGCTTTAGGTCTCTGGTTAATCATTTGATGAAAAGAAACTTTGATACTGGCCTTCTGACAACTTACCATTCTCATTTACCTTCGTTTATATGTGCACTTTTCCAGATTTGGGACTTTCATTTAGGACGGTTAAGGGGACACAAGGATTCGAATTCATTTGAAGATGCCTATGGCACGGAGAACATGGGATTTACAATTAAAAATTTTGGTGAATTTTTGAAAGAAACGTCTCCATCAAGCCCGAAGTTGGGAGGAGAAACCTATCAGATCAATTGCTCTAGTACACATGAAGACATGCCATCATTCAATGTAAGTCCTGCTCTGTTTTTCACTTTAAGTGCGTTCCGAGTTTCTTGTCACCTTGAAGAAAATTTTGTAACTTGATTGGTTTGTATATCCATCTAATTGTTTTCCTACTTGACCATGTTTGCTATCTTTCATCATTATATTTGGGGAGTTTAAAAAACAATGAGATACATCTGTTGATGAAATTAAAGACACTTGTGAATAATGTGTGAAGAGTATGTGAAAATCACCTAAACTAAACCATTTGTTGTAGAATACATTCGCTCCCGATGATAGATGTAGGATCATAACTTATGTTTTGAGGTGATGAGGTCCAATCGGCGTGTTTGTTTAGTCTAGTAAACTTTGTTGGGCAGTGAAGTGTGCTATCCAGTACAGATTGAAAGGAAGGTCTGTTCGGTACTTCAAGGCGATGGCTTGTTTTCATATCTAATTCCGTTAAGTTGTCTAAAAGGCTGTTAGAATGCAGAGACTATGTCGGTTTGATCAAATCAAACAAACCCTGATTCCTCACTGTCTACTTATTACTGCAATTCCATGAGCTTATTGTATAGCCCTCTGCTCTTTTCCAGTGTGAATCAGTGGGGTTGAATATAACATATTTACTTTGAAAATGCAGAGTAATGTCAATAACGCAACACTAAGTCAGGGAGCAGCGACATGTGAGAGTGACAACCTGCCTAATGGTACCGCCTACAGCAAGTTGAAAGGTGGTTCTAAAAACGCACAGCCAATGGAACAATCTGTTCTCATAAGAGGAGACGGTATAAGGTCAGCATCGACAACCAAGGCCAATTTGGAGCTTCTGGCGCAGAACAGAGGGAACGCAATGCAGCGTTACAAGGAGAAACGAAAAACTCGAAGGTGTATATTTCACTATTTGCTTGCATAGTGAACGATATTTTTCCTTCTGCATTTCAATCCCGGACCCCCTTAACCTAACTTGGAACAGGTATGACAAGTACATCCGCTATGAGTCAAGGAAGGCGAGAGCGGATACGAGGAAGCGAGTCAACGGTCGGTTTGTGAAGGCTAGCGAGGCCCCTGTTTCTTGATGGTGAGGTTCCAGGGTTGAAAGTAGGTTTTTGTTTCTCTTGCTGTAGTTCTGTGTGTATATATTTTGCCATTCCTTTCATTCCACTTATATTTTGTAGCAGCGTTTTTAACAGGTGCAAAGCACGTGATTTAATTATCTTCTCTTTTTCTTAGAGAGAGAGAGAATTTATGTTATGCTTATGCATTATATATAAATAACGTAATTAAGTCGAGGAAGTTATTTAAGTTAAGTTATAAATTTAGTTTTTAAACAGTGAAGATTGAGTTTGTTTAGTCTCTAAATAATTAAATTTTTTCTAATCATGTTGTGAACTCAAAGTATGGTGGGTTTATATAGGTTTTGTTGTTAATACCATGAGAAAATTGTAGAGTAGTTGCTGCTTTTACAAGTTTCTATGAACTTTTTTATGCTACTTTTGCAAGACAAATCTAGTGGTTTTCTACTTTTGTTTTTAGTCGATTACATTTCAAAATTATTATTTTTTTTGAAGAGTTGAGGAAAAGAGAAAATTTAGAGATGAGAAATATAGGGAGGGGAGGGTAAGAAAAGTTAAGAGACGAAAAGAAGCCTTTTGAGAGGAAAAACGGAAAGTCTAATCCACTTAGACCACTTGTGCTTTTATTTTCTTTTATTATTATTATTTTTAAGTTTTAAGTTTTCTATTTAAAAAAACATATATGTTTGGTAATTATTTTTAGTTTTCTATTTCTAAAAAGTTAGAAAATTGAAAATATATATTAGAGAGGATATTCTATGTAGGTAGAGATGACAATGGTGTGGGGGTAGGAGTGAGGATGCCATCTTCCATTCTCGTGCTCGTGAAAACTTTTAGTCTTCCATCTCTATCTCGTTTGCTGGTCTCGGAATCGGGAACCAAGTTAAAAGAATCTTTATTTAGGGATATGGATGTTTATGGGAAAAGTTATCGATTTTATTAATTAATTTTAATTATTCATAAAATAAAAAAAATCTAATAAATATATATTCATTATTTTTAGAATTACTATTTACTAGTATAAATAATTAGTTTTAAAAACATTTAATATTTTATTCACAATTCAGTAAATATGTCAATAAAATATATATTAATTATTTAAAAAATGAAATCAGGGACGGGGTCGAGACATATAATGTTGAGATATGAAAATACAGGAAAAAAAAATTAAAGACAAGATGAGAAAAATTTTAGAGAGTAAAGTTGAGAGAAAAATATATGTCTAAAAGAAAAAGAAAGATAAATTATAGTGAGAAATAAATTTGGAGAGAAAACAAAATGTGAAATATATTTTTAGAGAAAATAAATAAATACAAATAAAAATAAAAGTTATTGTAAAAGAAAATTGAACGATCAAAGAAGATAAAATTTAGAGGAAAAAACAAATTAGGGAGAGAGAGAAAAGTTGTAAAAGACGAAATTTTAGAGAAATAAAAGTTTGAGAAAATATTAAATTTTTAGAGAGTGAATGAGAGTAATTTTTTGGAAAAAAATAAAAGAAAATAAAAAAACGTAGAGATGAAAAATTTGGAGAGATGGAGAAATAATAATAAATATTTAAAATATTAAAATTTTAAAGAAAGAAAAATAAATTTTTTAGAGAGATTTATGAAAAAAAATTTAGAGTAGAAAGAAATTTGTTAAAATATAAAAATGTCAAATAAAAAAATTGAGTATTAGAAAGAAAAAACGAGATTTTTTAAAAACAGAAATCTATTTTAAAAAACTACTTCTTCTTCTTCTTTTTTTTTTTTAACTCAACCTCAAGAGGGAGGGTACATGTCAATTCCCGCTTACCTATGTTTATATTGGGTATTTAATATAAATATTAAATTATGTGATATTTTGAATATATGCAAAATTGTCTCTTTTTAAGTTCCAACAAATTTTCAAGTCATAGTTCAATTAAGATAAATAGTAAGGATATGTTTTGGAGTGACGGGGGAAGAAGTGATTTTGGTAAAAGSGATTTAAGAAGAATTGATTTTTCAAAATCAAATGAAACTTTAAAAATCAAATGAAAGTAATTTTATGTTTTTCTAAAATCAATTTTTTAATTTGACAAAAACGATAAATGGAAATAGGAGTGATTTTGGCGATGACAAAAATAATTTTGCGTTGCCAAAATCACTCCCAAACATACCCTAAATATTTTATCTAAACACAAACTTTTTTGAACGAAATAAGATAGATCGTTGGCAAAAGTATCATTGTCAATGCAATCGTCTGCTTTGGTAGAGATCATTTTTGTTGATGACACATGATGCGTTGTCAAAAATCCTCTTTGTCGATCATTGTAGATTGCATCGACAAAGATGTTCTTTGCCAAGAATGGACAATTTTGCTGGCAAAGGTCTCTTTTGAAAGCTCTTTAGTGATGAAGTTGATGAATTTTTTGCGACGAGAAATCGTTTTCTCAGCATTTTTTTTATGCTTTTGCCGATGATTTTTTGAGTCCTAATTTATATTATCCAAGTATATAATTATATTTGTTGGTTATCAAAACATCACGAATCCTGTGTGTATCCAGCATTTCTCAAAAAGAAAAAAAAAATCAGCTTGGAAGGATTATATGATCATTATGCTCCGTGACCATTTTACAAACTATATATATATATATTTTCGCCAACATGAGCCGCTGCAATAGAGGTGTACATGGGTTTAGTTAAGTCGGGTTAGAAGAATTTGTTAGACAAATCCAAAAATTTTGGGGTTTTCAATTGTACTGTCCAAGAGACCACTTTTATATATTTTGAGATTTTCGAGTTGAGTTGTGTCTTTGAATTGTTAAAATGTTAGAAATTTTTATGGGATAAGAACAGATGTATCTATTTAAAATAAGTCATTTCAAAAAATGACAAAACAACTTTTGGTTTTAAAGAATGACGAATGTTAAAATAGGAAAATCTCTTCTAATTTTATAGGTACGAAATTACCCTTCCATGATTTTTAAATGAATATATTATTTGTACTTTTTTATGGAGAATCATACCTATATTTTCTTTCTAATGAATCATTCAAATATTTTGAGAATCTTACCTGTATTCTTGAATTCACACATGAGAATTTTACTAAACAAACCTAAAAACAAAAAATATTAATTGAATTAAAATCTAAAACAAAATTTAAACAAAAAAATCATTTTAGAAATAGAAATACCAAAATTTAAACTAAGAAAATCATTTTAGAAATGAAGTAAAAATACCAATACTGAAGATGGAAACAAATATAGTAACAAACATGATCAACAAATAATACGGTAAACAAATGAACAAATACAGTAATAAGCATAAGCACGATGAACAAATACGGTGAACAAATGAACAAATAAGATAAATAGATGAACAAATATCTGAACATTTTACTATGAAAAATAAGGTGAATACATAATGTTTATTTTTGTGACACAACTCATACAAAAAAAAAAAAAAAAATTCTACCCGAGTAGAAACTCATACAGTTGATGTCTCTCTTCTTTACCCTCCGCCACTCCCCACCACACTTACAAGCGTTGTCAACCACCTTGTTGTTCCACTATTGTATTCCTTGCTCCCTTGCTCAATTCCATCCACTCCCCCGTACCACTTAAAGCTATGTCACCTTCACAGTTGTCTCCTTGCTTAATTACTGTCTATTCCCCCCTCAATTCCCATCCATTCTTGTTGTCTCCCTTGCGATACCGGTTGATCTGTCTCACTTTGTGTGCCGTCCTCTTTGAGTTATGATATGTTATATTCAAATATATATTTAAAAGTGAGATAGATGATTTCTAAATTCTAAGAGAGAAAATATAGGGAAGAGAGATAATATAATTTGAGAATCCGAGGGAGGGTATTATTTTGATTTTGAAAATAATAACTAAATAGGAAAGGTAGGATGGTCAAAATCAAATTTGTAAAACAGTTAGAAAAATCGGAAGAGACATTTTTTATTAATAAAATATATCTGGCCGTTTTTCAAAACCAAGTGATAAATAGGACACCTACGGTAAATTCTCAATTTTCCTCTCCGATGCAAATGACACTCCAGCAAATTTGTCTAAGAATTACTCTTAGCCCTTTATGTTTTTGCTTGGGCCCATTATCCCTTTAGCCCATTTATTAGTTTTATGTTCTAGGGCGTGAGATTTGTTAATCAGTTTAGTCTCTTGGTTGTGAGTGGTAACTTACAGGGAGAGAGTGAAACAAAAATTATAGGGTTTTTTGAGCCTTTGAGAAAAGGGGAGGGTGTTCTTCCTATGTGTACTGGAACTGAAACTTCTATTCAAACTCTACATACTTTAAGAACGTCTGAAACTTCAGGTGATGCAGGAACTTCAGGGTGTGGTGGTCAAACTATTGAGTATGTTGAAATTTTTCCTTCTTCTGATCCTAATCCTATTTTGATTGATTTTGAACATACAAAAACTGATATTACTCAAGAGCAATAAGATGATGGTCAACGTGGTTCAGTTGCTGATTATCAGTTAACCAAAGATAGAGGAAAATAGGTAATTAGACCTCCTTTGAGATATGAAGCTGATATTGCCATGTATGCTTTAAATTGTGAAGAAAATTTGACTGATGTAGAACCCAATTCTTATAAAGAAGCTATTAATGGTAAGGAACAAGATTTATGGTTGGAAGCTATAGATAAAGAGATGTCTTCACTATACAAGAATGAAACTTGGGTATTGGTTGATAAACCGGTAGATTAGAAATTGGTTGATTGTCGATGGCTTTTCAAAATTAAACCTACTGTTAAGGGGGAGAAACCTAGATATAAAGCTAGACTTGTGGCTAAAGGTTATATACAACAATATGGTGTTGATTAGAATGAGATATTTTCTCCAGTGGTAAGACATACATCAATTTGAGTTCTTATTCCTTTAGTTAACCAGTTTAATCTTGAATTGGAACAGATGGATGTTACTACTTTTCTTCACGGGGACTTGGAAGAAAAGATTTATATGCACCAACCCTCAGGTTATGTAATACCAGGTAAAGAGCATTAGGTTTGTTATCTTAAATGCTCTTTGTATGGTTTAAAACAATCGGCTCGACAATGGAATAAGTGTTTTGATAGCTTTATGATAAGAAGCAATTTTCGTAGAAGTGATTTGATAGCTGTGTTTACATAAAAACAATATCCAATGTTGTATATGTGTGTATCTCTTACTTTATGCAGACGACATGATCATAGCTTATCAACAGTCTTCTCAAATTGCTAGTTTAAAACTTTTGCTTAATCAGGAATTTAAAATGAAGGATCTTGGCTCTGCTGATAAGATTATGGGGATGCAAATTCGAAGAAATCGTGCCATTAATT